TGTGGATGCAGAATTAAATCAGACAGTCCAAGCTCTTGGGGGCTCAGTCTTTTCCCAATTTGGTCTTTTTATCTCCGTTGCATTCCAACCACATCTGGCTCCTCTCCTCTCTCCCTCTCCCACCCTCCTTCTGTGTCTCCCTCTGCTGAAACCACCCCCCAAGAGTGTTCTTCTCTCACATCCTGCAAAAGTCCTTAGCACAGGACCAAGTTCCCAGTGGGCACTAAGGAAAAATATTGTATTTAGTGATTTAAGAGGTGAGTACTTAGTGACACACATGTCTTTTACCATAAATAACCTGCTTTCATTTTACTTCTGTCAACCTACCTTCCCAAAAGTCGCCTGAAAGCAGTTCTCCCCTCCCAACAATCTGAGGAGCTTCTAGATTAACAGTAACAAATAGATGAGTGGAAACAACTCTGCCCTCAATGTTCAACAGATCATATGTTCTGCATGAGGGCAGTCAACTGAGGAGACCCTTTGAAAATCATGTGGGGACACTGAAAGCTCAAAGCAACAGGAAGTAAGAACGTTTTCTGACACCTAATTCATCTGATGTGGTAATTCTGTACCAAACTTCTCTTTGACAGATGTGAAAGGAAAATAACCCAGAATCATAGATTTTTAAGACTAGAAGGAATCTCATCTTGTCCAACTCCCTCACTTTATAGATAAAGAACCAAGGCTCAGGGAGAGGATATGACAAACTCAGATTGTGCTGCTGGTCTTTGGGGCAGGAGTAGTAGCTGAGCCACCTGCCTCCAATGCAGGGCCCATTCCTCTCCCCAGAGCTGCCAGGAGCCAGGTGCATGCCTGTGAGCAGCCCTGGAGGCAGTGGCTGCTGGTACTCAGCCAGGCCACCATGGGTACACCATCCTTCCAGTTGCTCTCATTGCTTCCTCCTTGCACGCCTCCATCTTGCTTAAGGCAACAAGAGACGGCCCTCAGGAGTTCTAGGACAGGGGGTGCAAATGAACAGCTCCCTTGAATGGTGAGCCTGCTTTTATTCTGTGAAATGGGACTAATTTCTATCGTCTTCTTCTGTCCAGGATCATGATGAAGATCAAAGAGATACCAGCCATCAAGGAATCCTATATTCTTTGACGAAAACTTAGAGTAGGGATCCAACAGAGCATTTGCATCATAATTAAATCCTGCTAATGTTAAGCCCAAGAGTTAGATACCAGCATTTTATAAAGACTGACAATGCTTTTGATCTTTCTACATTTAAATATTTTTTTAAAGCATACACCCTACATACAATTCAAGTAACAAACAATAACACCTGACACTTGATCGTCATAGTGGCTCTGGTAGGGGAAAGCAGAGTAGGTGTCACTGTCCCCAATTTACGGGAGGGAAAACTGGGTCAGTGAAGCACCCGTCACACAAAGGCAAGGTTGGAGCAATGACTTTTTCTAAGGCTCTCTCCTCCTCACTGTGCAACTTAGCTTCAGAATTTCCTGCTCACATTTGCACTTCAACAACACTGAAGAGCTACCTTTTCTGTTACATTTGAGGCATTTAAGACACTCGAGTCATTTAACAAGGAGCACAGCTTGACCCTACAACTTCAGCAGCAGCCCCCACGACAGGCACTTCTCTCTGCTGGAAACTCAACGACACACAGGAATTATGGGGGGTGAACTTTGGGGTTCACAAACAGGATTAACCTTTAGGATGTTTTTAATCATTCATAATTTATTCTCTACATTCTTTCAAAAACAATCTGAGATGGCTCTTAGCTCTGACAATAATTCAATCAAAAGTAAGGGTTGTATTCATTTGTTCCTTTTTTCAAAAAATTTACTCATACGGACACAGAGCAAAAGATTTGGAAGGCTACATGCCAAGTTTTGCATTATTATTTCTGACTATAGATGTATCGATTTTATTATTATTATTTATGTTACTTTGTATTTTATATTTTTCTACAACGAATATTTATAACTTTGGTAATAAGAAAGCACACAATAATCTCACTTATATGTAGAATCTAAAAAAACCTGAATTCATAGAAACAGAGAGTAGAATGGTGGCTGCCAGGGGCTAGGGTGTGGGGGAAACAGGGAGATGTTGGTCAAAGGGTACAAACTTCAGGTATAAGATGACTAAGTTCTGAGGATCTAATATACAGCATGGTGACTATAGTAAACAATACCGTATTACATACTTGAAAGTTGCTAAGAGTAAATCTTAAATGTTCTCGCTACAAAAAAGATAGTAGCAATACATACATGTATCAAATCACCACGTACACCTTAGACTTACACAACATTATATGTCAATTACATCTCAATAAAACTGGCAGGGGGAGTAGAAAACAATAAAAATTACTTCTATTTTTAAAACGTATTCTTCATTCTGAAGAATGGGCAAAGAGATTATCTCCACAGGGGGCAGGGAAGCTCTATTACCGTGAACCAATGAATACAAAATGCTAACAGTACACCAAGCCTCCAGACCAGAACCTCTGCCCTTGTCCCCATTTGGGTACTCTCAGCCCCCAAGAATGTAAAACAATATGCCAGGACATCAATTTTACACAAATATTTTGGGGGGAAAAGCTTTTTTAGATGTATTTAAACCAAATTCAACATATGAAATCAAATGAAAAATTGCACAAATCGTTAAAACAATTTTCAAGCGTGCTGGGGCCAATCTGAACTGTGCCCACCCCCAGGAGCACTTGTCAGTCAGTCTTCTTTGCTACTGGGGACTTTTCTAGGGAGAAGTTTGGGAAGCCCTAAGGCAAATAGTACCAGCTTATTTTCCCTCCTTTTTGAAAGAGCAGCAACCTCATTAATAAGTTACCTTTCCTGTTACTTTTTTTAAAAGTCAAATTTTTCTTTATCTACTATATCTTTAAAAATTCTTTATAAAACAGGTGGCAGCAAATATATTACCAGGGAAACCTGGGGCCCACAGGCACGTAGTTCTCCCTGTCTCCCTTGCCCCAGGGGCAGAACTGCCTGGCCTGGTGTCCTGGGCTCTGAGGATGGTGGAGCCCTGGTGGGCCCTAGAGGGCCCTGGACTGCCTCACATTTCTGCAGGACAGCAGACCACTCCACACAAAGTGCCAATTCATTCATTCCACAAATGTTTATTGAGCAAAGCCTGAGAAAGGCCTCTTAGGGGACAGTGGGATCATTCACAAGCCAACGGTCAGGTCTAACGGATCAGATGTGGACAATCTATCTTTCATTAGACCTCAAACCACCTCTAGGATAAGGCAAACAGGGCCCCTGCCCCACCCACTCACTAGCAGCTGGGCGGGATGAGGCAGGGGCTCTGCAACAGGACTGCTGCTTGAGAGAAGCTAAGGCAGTCACCGACTCCCACCAGCATGACCGAAACTCCTGCACCATAAATGACAGAACACCTCTAAAACGCTTTGAACAGTGTCTGGCACCTGGTGAGCACTCAATAATAGTCATTTTTGCTGTTACTATTCCAGCTTGCCCTTAGTCAAAGAGCACCAAAAAAGTGTAAAGAACACAGGTTCTAGAACCATAAAGACTGGATTTGAATCCCAGCTATGCCACTTACTAGCTGTGTGACTAAGGGAAGCAATCTTTCTGAGCCTCAGTTTCTTATTTGTAAAATGGGGTAAATGACAGTATACCATCCCTCATGTGGCTTTGTGAGAATTAAGGACATATTATATGCAAAGAAGAGTGTCTGGCCCATAAGTGCCCAATAAGACAGTCAATATTGCCACTGCCCTGCTCCCTTCCCCACTGCTCTTTCCGGTCCTGGAATCTGATTTCACCTGGACACCACACTAAGGGACAGAATAACTACTGAGGGGAGGGGAGGGAACTGCTGGGGACCCTCCAGGAAAACCCATCAATGTTTTCGGCTCCTTTCAACCATCCTCCTCTGTTTGGCTACTCCATCCAACAGACAGCTGGGGCCACCGCTCCCTCGCTGGGAATGGCTGCCAAGAAAGGGACAGGAAGCTGGACAGCAGTTTGAATTCATCCCATCTTCCAGTGTTTGTCTGTCTGTCTGAAGCCCCACTGGGCTTCCTCTGCACATCCCTGCCAGGCTGTGTGGGTCAGGAGGCTGTCAGTATGATTCATAGTCTGTTCTTATCTAGGCTTCCATCTCAACCCAGAGCCCAAAGCCCTCGAGGCTGCTGGTCACAAACCAGCACTAAATGAAACTAAGGACTTATCATTAAGACAGGAAGTAGAGCCCCTCAAAGTCAAAGGGGACTTATAAAGGGAGGAGAGAGGAAGGGAAGAGGGAGGAAGCAGGATGGGTGAAAGAGAGAAGCCCACTTCCTACATACTGGTGGAGCCCTGTCTTAGCCACTGAAGCAGCTGGTTTTCCAGTTTGAAAGATGATAAATCCCATTCCTGTGATTTATAACTCACTGCGGGATGAAGTCTGGGTGTAGGAAGAGAATTCCAAAACAAATCTGCTTATTTTCCACGTAGAAATCATCAGCCCGCAACTCCCGGTTCCCAACGCCCCACATGTAGATAGGTCCTAACGCCATACCTTATTTCACCTGAGCCATCTGGAGGCAGTTACTCCGCAGCCAGGACCCGCCCAGCAGCCAGCCCCAAGCCCAGAGTCAGTCCTCAAAAGCCCTAGGAAACGCGGCAGCCCAGCAGAACCCTTGCCGACCTGGGCACTTCGCTTCCTGGAGGCTCGGCCCCCTGGGCAGCGGAGCCGTCTCTTAAGTGGGTGGGAAATTGAGGAAAGGAGCTTACTGGGTGCCAAAACGCAGTTCACGTTTTAGATCTCAGAAGATTAAAAAGCATCATTCAACACCAACTCCCTTATTTAACAGAAGAGGAAATAGAGACCCAGAGAGGGAAAGAAAGTTGCCCGAGGTAACACAGAGAACGGGCAGAGAAGTAGAGACCAGAACCCGGGCGCTCTGCCAGAGTCGCAGCCGGAGCGCGTCTCCCCGCCTCCCGCGTCCTCTTGCCTGCAGACCCAGGTCGCTGGGTGCAAAGCCCGCAACCCCCAGCGCAGCGCGTTACCTTCCTCGGGACTGGCCGCTGCGAGCCTCCCCTCCCCGCGCGGGGCGCTGGCGGCTCTGCCCTGCTCGCTCGCCTGACGGCCCAGGTGTCGCCGGCCGCTGTCAGCGCGGGGCGGCTAGCGCAGGCTCCCCAGCCGGCGGCGGGCGGGGCGCAGGGGCCGCCCCCCGGAGCGCGGGCCAATGGCGCTGCGCCCGCTCCCCGCCCGCCCCCGGAGCCCCCCGCCCTCTCCTGTCTTGTCTCTCCCCCTTGGCTCCCCACTCCTGGCCTCCTTCTCAAGTGTACCTTGCCCGGAGACAACTTTTCTTCTGTGCAGATAAAGAATGCAGACTACTGCGCGTTAGGGGGCCTCGGAGCCCAAGAGTAAGGAGCCCCTCCGCTCAGACAGTGGGTCAGCCGCCGCACGGGGGAAGGGCTGCCGAGTGGCGTGGAGCCGCGTGAGCGGAGCAAGATGCTTTAACCGCTGTGGGCGCCAGTTTCCTCGCACGTAAAATAGGTGAAAATACCTCCTAGGCTGTGGAAAGGATTAAGTGAGGTGACGCTTTAAAAGTATCACAGACAATAAGGCCTAGCTAAATGGTGACTGCGATGTGCACGGTCTGAGCCGCCCTGTGGGTGTGCAGTGAGGACTGGTACACTGCTGGAAGGCGCTGGCCAGTGGGGAGGCAGGCACGCCTACAAATACAATAGTATATCATTGCCAATTAGAAAAAGTTACCCATGATGGGGCCAGCCAAGGCAAACGTCCGAAATTGGTGAACCTTAAGGTCTTCTCCTTTCTCATCATCTCCCTAGTTAGTGTTGTCCATCCAACTGAGGGTGGCCCAGGTCTTCCTTCGTTTGTTCCAAAGATATTCCAAATGCTGATCCCCAAGGGCCTCATTCAGTGCTGGGTGCGGGCCTGCTAACCTAGCCTAGGAATCCTTGTACCGTGTTAATGCATGTATTCCGGCTTTCACCCAAGCTTTGAGTCTAGGGTGTCCCTGTAGTGGGTGAGCACTAGGGATGCAAAAGAGAATTAAGCCACTCGCCTTGCCTTTGAAGAGACAAATTTGTAAGTAATTTCAATTCAGGGCAATAACTGCTATAATAGGTGTACAAAGTGTTAAGAGTCACACACACTGGGAGAGGAGGGCAATAAAAGCTTAAATACAGATGCAACAAGGTAAGTCTTGAAGGAGCACTATAACTTAGGTCAGATGGAAGTGGGAGAGTACAGTGGGTGCAGAGAGGCAGGTGAAGACATGGAAATGCCTGTCATGTGTTGTGGCTGTTGCACAGTCTGTGTGATAGGGAGGTAAAGAGGAAGCTAAGGAGGTGGGTAGACAGATGCAAAAGGAGTAGCCATGCTTGCCCTGCTAGGGGAAGTGGGCTCTATCCTATTAGTGACAGCTGCTGGTGGATGATTTTAAGCAGAAGAGTGGCATGACCTCATTTGCTTTTCATACCTCGCCTTCAGTGTTGACTGTGCCTGGCTTGGTTATCTGCTTCCTGCCCCTTTCCAACCTGGATGACAGGCACTGGATCTTGCTCAGCTGTGGGTGCCTTGCATCACCTGGCACGGGGCTTTGAAGAAACTCAAAGCTCACTACTCCCAGCATCACTCCTCCCCAGGAAACAAACAGCAACTCTTAACAGCTAGGGTGGGTCCAAGGATTCTCACTGCAGGCACTGGGGCAGGTAGGTGGGGGAGAAATTTTGAGGCAGGGCCTTGCTGGGGGCCCTCAACTTGTCCAAAGAGTTGGACAGAGTATGGCTCAGAGTTCAGAAGTTAGAGCTCTGAGGTCAGATGGCCAAGGTTCAAATCCTGGCCCCACCACTTTCTAGCAGGACCTGAGGCCAGTTACTTAACCTCTCTGTGCCTCAGTTTGCTCTTTTGTTAAAGAGATGATAATAATGCTCCTTCTAAGGCTACTGTGAAGGTTAAAATGAGGAAGCACTTGTGTTTAGCAGAGGGCCTTGCACATAGAGAGTACTGAATGAATCTTCGTTAACATCACCATTTCATCTCAGCAGTCGCTTGTTCCTCTTAACCAATAGTAGATTGCCACTCTTCGAAATGGTTTACATATAAGTGACACTTAAATTTCACAGAATTCTCTGTTGATATTGAAGGGAAAGGCACCAGGGCAGGGATAGTGCAGTGCAGTAGTCGAATGTACAGACTTTGGTGCATGTCCTGACTCCACCACTGGACTCCACCACTGGACCAGCTGCGTGACTTAGGACTTGTCACTTAACCTCTTCAGGCCTCTCTTCCTCTTCTATAAAGTAGAGATAGTAATATGACCTGCCCCATGTAAGGGAGATGCTATAATACACATAGCACATTGCCTGCCCAAGGTAAGTTCTCAGTAAATGTCAGCTAATAGTATGATCATAGTTAAAAGAGAGATCTTTTACTTCTTGGAAAGGGAAAAGTAATCTAACAGTAATGCATTGGAAGGCGGAAGTGTAACCCCAGAAAAAACTAAACCTAAGTGTTAAGGCTGGTGCCACATCTGTGAAAACTGACTAGGACAGCAGAAGTGAGCTTAGAAACCTGCAGGTGGAGCATGGGCTTGAATGAGTTTTCTAGCTGGGCAGAAGTTATTTAAATTTGGAACCCCTGTCCAAACAAAGACAAAATTCTTGCAACTCAATGGAACTGAAATAGAATGGAGTGTTGTTTGCAGGGTTAGTGTATGACTGCTCTCTGAGCTCTTCTCCTGGAACGGTGGACTGCCATAAGCCTAGTGCTTTCAAATGAGAATTTGGGATCTAACTCTTAACACCACCCAGCTGTGACTTTGTAGAGTCACAGGCATGCTGCCAACTTGTTTAGTTTTATCAGCTAGTTAGTAGGTAAATATTTATTAGTAGGATAGGCTAGGTGTGGTTCCTTCAGGTTTGAAATATCTTCTCTATTTCTGACCCAAGGAATCTTTCTCATGCATCAAGTCCCAGGACAAATGTCATGAGATTCCGCCCTCTTAGATTGAATTACTCCTTCTCACCCCTCCACCTCCCATGGCGTATTCCTCAAGCCTTTTCTTGGCGTTGATTTCATTCTGTTTTTATAGTTAGTCGTCACAGGATATGTCACTTCCCACTAGTTTTAAAGCTCACCCAATTCGGGGACCCCTTTTTCCTCTTTGTATTTCTTCTCACCACCTCTATCCTTTGCCCAACCCCATCTCTACCCCCAATGACTTATATGCCATAGGCACTCAATAAATGCTTGTTCAATTGCATTGGCAGGCAGGTCTCATAGCAGACATGTTGCAGAGAGCAGCACTGTTGCCACCATGGAAAAGTAAAACAAAACTTCCTTGTGAAGACATGACTTTGTCTTTAAGCTATGTGGATTTACAACTTCTTACCCACCAAAAATGGAAGATATTGCTGAAATGCTGTACAGTTACATGTCATGTGGTAATGTGGTTAGATGACTTATAGCACTAGATATCAAATATACAGCATTTAGAACACAATTCAGTCATGGTACTGGGTCACCAAAGCAGGAATTTGGTTTTCTAAATAATTTGTAAATACTGAATATCTTTTTAACTTTTGGAAGAACAAAACTTTGGCCTTGGATCAAATTGTGTTAGCAATCTCTCCACAGTCTTTAATAATGCCTCGCATTTCTACAGGGCTTTGTATTTTTCAAAGCTTTTTCCCTTTGATTATCTTGTTTGATCTTCACGTCAAGCCTATGATGTAGGAAGGGCAGCTATTAGTATCTGCATTTTACAGATGAAGATAGGAGGGACTTGAGAGGATCAGGGCCTAAGCCCTGGCCAAATGGCAAACTAGCAACAAAGTCAAGGTTGGAACCCAACGATCTACTATACCAGAGAGATTTCTGATATTCATGAAGATTGTGGCATCATTTTTTATACCCTTCATGAGCAATGATCTTATGCAGACATGTCAATTTATATTCATGTGTATATATTTTCATACAGAATTCCTTTAGAAAAGTAAAGAAAAACTTTTTTAGCAATCATCTCCCTCAGATATGTATGCGTAATAATCACAATTTATTACTTCAATGCCTTTCATCTGTGCATATCAACATGCATTCCAACATTAATTATTCTTTTAAAAAATCTCTAGGTTTCCTTTATCAGTGTTTCAGAACAAATGTTCTCACTTTAATGTTTAAAGAAAGAACAAATATTACTTCAAAAAGTAGAAGACCTCCATAGAATAGTCAAATACAAAGAGAAGAAAATTGAATAGTGGTTACCAGGGGCTGAGGGAAGAGGGTAATGTGGAGTTACTGGGGACAGAATTTCACTGTGGGATGTTGAAAAAGTTCTGGAGATGGATGATGGTGATGGTTGCAGAACAATATGAACATACTTAACGCCACAGAACTGTACATTTAAAAAAGGTTAAAATGGTAAATTTTATGCTATGTATCTTTTACTGCAATAAAGAAAGTGGAAGACCATCTTGTTTTACTAATATGAGATTCCCTTTAGTAGAAGGCAGCTAGTTATAGCATAACTCATGGCCTTTTTTGTTTGTTTTACTTTGGTATTTTTTATTTTTCTATTGTTTTAAAATTTTTTTTGTGAGGATGATTGGCCCTGAGCTAACATCTGTGCCAATCTTCCTCTATTTCATGTGTGTGACACCTGCCACAGTGTGGTTTGATGAACAGTGCATAGGTCTGTGCCTGGGATCCAAACCTGCGAACCCTGGGCCACCAAAGCAGACCACATGAACTTAACCACTAAACCACTGGGCTGGCCTCTGTTTCACTTTGTTTTTTTGAAATTCACCTTACCTAAGAGCCTCTTTGTGCTTGTCCTAGAAGAGAAGAGAGTGATCTATAGAGAGCCCTACTACCTTTTTTTTAAAAATCCAAAATGGGCTTGAAGTTTGTGTGGTAAGGTGAGATTCTAGTAGATTATTGCAGCTGCTACTTATTGAGTGTTTCCTACCTGCCAAGTATTGACTAAATGCTTTTACCTATTTCATGTAATCATCTGAGCAGCTCTAAGTGATGACAGATGAGAAACCGAGTTATATGAAGGTTAAGTTACTTGCCTAGGGTTGCACAGTCAAATATCTTCCCAGAAGGTTATCAAAACTTTGGGGCTGACTTCCCCAAGATGCGATGGAATCTCCCTTCAAGCTG